AATAGGCTTTCGATAAGGAATAGGTCTTAAAGTATTTCGAAAACTCGACCTAGGAAAAACGTTTTTTAAATCGCACATTACATTCATTTTGTTCGTTTCAATGTTTCGTATTTCAATATTAAGTTGAAGAAATTTTTTCAATATATCTACTTTTTCTTTAACTTGGGCATTATTCTAATTTCTTTTTTTAATTTTTTTTTTGTTACTAATTTAAATATCACGCAAAAGATTTATTGCGCAATAGTATAATCTTCTTAATGAATAAATCCGTTTTTTTCTCTGTTGTAAATTTAGCATTACTAATCTCAGATTTTTTTGCTTCATTTAAAGTATATAAATTAAATTCTGAAAGGAAATTCTTCATTCTACTAATTTACATCATTCAATTGAAAAATGCTATTTGATTTAGTTAATAATTCATATCTGACAGATGCACAACTCTTTTTGTACTATTACATAGTTATGAGCAAAAAAACAACATAAAATAATTAATTTTTTCTAGACGAATAATTAAAAAATTGCACTTAGAAAACAAAATATAATTTTCAAAAACAATCAAATTGAGTTATGTTATATGTTTACAATCTTGTTTAAAATATTTCCTTGGGTAACGTTTGCAATGAAAGAGATGCAAAAAAAAAGCACTATTATATTTTTAGATATCATCAATTTTAAATAGAAACTATCAAAAATCTATTTTTACAGAAATTATCTATTGTTGAATCGTATTTTTTTTATGAGAGAGAACCTCGATCTATCAATAACTAATTAATGATAAATGTTTACATGTTTCTAATCAATTATAAATTGACATATGATACATGGAATAGCAAAAGTCATGACAGAATTAGATTTAATGGTATGTTAATTTGTTTAGTCAGAATTAATCAATAAGCATATGAGAAGAGAATTAACATTTTTAAAAAAACTAACCCATAAAATCTTAGTACCATTTATTGATTGCCAAACGATAGAAAAAAACATTTTATTCATATTCATAATATTGATGTTGTATTAGCATTTTCACAACTGGTTATGTCATGAATAAGCAAACAACTTTTAAAAGTTCTTATATACGCAAAAAAAACTTATTTTTAAGTTTGTTTTTGTGAAGTTTTTTATGATTTCTTTTTTTAGGTTATCCAATTAAATAAATGAACCTTGTCTTTTTTGGTCTTTTCTTCATCAAACTGGAAATTGGGCAGTATTATATGTTATTTTCTTTTCTTTTTTCTTTCTTTTTCAATGCCTTTTCTTCCTTTATTCTATTCAACATTGAAACAACAGGTTGTATGTAGTGAAAGACGGCCTCCTGTGTCGTGACGGCACTAGTGAGTGTATGGGTTGTAAAAAAAACGAGAGAGAGAGAGAGGAAAAAAGAAAAAAAGTTTCGTATTACAACTTTGTTGTTTTCTCTCGTTCTGCTCGCATGCCAACCACGGCTACAGACGTGCACGCTTTACCTCATCTCACCATCTCGTCGATTAACTTTGAAAGCTCAGCGATCGTTTGTGTGCATATCTTCATTTTTACGCGCACACATACACACTCTCTCTTTCTTGCTTATCGTTAAACTATACATTTCTGATAGATCTCAAAACTGCTCATACTTAAACACGAATACTTGATTAATATAAGTGTTATTTTGTTCCACATTTTTATATAGTTGACAGAGACATTAAAGAATGGAATACGTACGTAGTTTACGCCTACATTTTACACTCAGCAGTCAGTTGACATGCAAATAAGAAAAAGAAAAGAACATCTATATTGCTATAATCTTGAGTATAGCTCATCATTTTACTTGACTGAAAAAGTAATGAATAAACAAATTATGTCAATAAAAATTTCATAGTTTATCCTTATTTTCTTTTCTTCTTTAACACTTTTTTTTAATCATCAATGTGATTGTTTGCTCACGTTGCTATTTGTCTCTATGTTGATAAGTATGTGTGTTTATGTTTCAGATGTAGATATTTTAGTAAAAATAAATTCTTATATGTATTTATATAATGGCGATAAAACGTAAAGATTTTCAAAAGACATCTTCAATTATACTCGAATTTTTACTAAAATTACCCGATGAAGAGACAAGTTCACGTTTACGTGATACACTTTTACATGGTCTTCATTTTCTTCAACAATATTATTTAATATTACAAAAACGTGATAAAGAACAAAAACCATTACAGTGGACAATTGAACGTGGTTTAAGTCCATTAACACCATTTCGTGAAGCACCAGATAAATTTGAATGGCCATGGATTGATGTTGAATCAAATAAAGTTAAACAAACAATACCAAAACATTCATTGAATAATTTTGTTAATTTATCACCAATTATTGTAGCTGTACGTGAAGGTGACTTACGTTATGTTAAAGAATTATTAAATTCAGAACCTGAGTTAATTGATCGTGTTGATTCATTTGGACGTGATTTATTAACTTACGCTGTACAATATCAACAAATTCATATTTTACGTTATTTATTACTTGAATGTAAACCATCAGCAAATATCAATATTCAAGCTAATGATGGTTCAACATGCTTACATCGTGCATGTTATAGTGATGATGGACAACAATCTAATATTGATATAGTACGACTTCTACTAGAAAATAATGCTGATGTCAATAAAGAAGATGTACATTTACGGTCACCGTTACATTGGGCCGTGCTAGCTGAAAATATTGACTGTTTAAAAATTTTAATTGAATATCAAGCTAATATACATGCAAGAGATGCTGATGGAATGACACCAGCTATGTGGGCATGCCATCTTGATCGTTATGATCATTTCAAAGTACTATTTTGTTTTTTTTGTAAGGAATATTTTGTAAATAAATATTTTCATTTAGGAATTATCTCGTTATATGGATGATATAATTGAAAAAGATGACGATGGTCGTACATGGATACATCATAGTGTACGTAAAACTGAACCATTAGAATGTTTAAAATCTTTATTATCATCTGAAACAATGCAAGTACGTGATAATGAAGGTCGAACATGTTTACATGTTGCTGCTGAACAAGGTTCAGTTCATGCATGTCGACTTATCTTTGACATGAGTGAACAACTTAATGATCATTCTTATGTACATGAAGGTGATAAATATCGTCAGACACCACTTCATTTAGCAACTAAAAATGGTCATGCACGTGTATTAAAAGAATTATTAGATCATGGTGCTGATCCACATACTAAAGGTATATAAATATTTGTTTTTTTTTTATTTGAGATATTTATTAAGTTTCTATATTTAGATATACATGGTGTATCGGCATTTGATTATGCACAAAATCGTGGACTTTATTTTTGTCGAAGTGTTTTTGAAGTTTATCTACGTGATAAACGTTCGAACGGTTTCGAAAGTCAATTGTCAACAACACGCAGTGTTAATAATAGCAGTTTGACAAGAATTAATGGATATGATGTAACACCAATACCACCGTCTGATGGACGTGCAAAATATGTTCGTCCTACTAATCGTCGTGCATTAACAGAATCCTTACCACAACCTAATCGTTCATCACCTTCTCTATCAGTTGAAATCCTTCCTCCTACAACAAATTATATAAATAGATCATCGGTTGTATCAAACCGACCCGATGATAATGAAGATGATGATGAAGTTAATCGACAACGTCATCGACCATCATCGCCAACAGGAAGTACTTCAATTATTGGACCACCTGTTAAACCTCGAAAAAGTTCAACAACACCCAATAGTTCAGTCGTTAATGTATCAAGAACACAAAAAAATTATCATCATCATGTTGTTGTTACAACAGCTCATTCAGATGGTGATGAAGACGATGAACCAAATAGTCTTGAAGGTCATGGTGGTCAAAGTGATTTTGATGATGATGATGGTCAATCACCAAGACCTTCAAGACCTGATTCTCGTCTTTCAATACGTAATAGTGATATTCGAATGCAACAACAACAACAACAACAACAACAACAACAACAACAACAGCAACAACAACAATCAAATGGTACTTTTCGTCGACCACATTATAAACAAGTTAAAAATGCTAATCGGCATTCCATGTATGATGATTATCGTTTTCTTGATGAACAACAACAACAATTATCATCTTTTGCTAAACCAAAACAACAAAATCGTTCGACATTACATAAAGAATTTCCAATTCCAACATCAAATCGTATTGGATCAGGTAGTGGAAGTCAATCAGCAACCAATCGTCTTAAATCTGGCTCGAAATCAAGTTCAAATGAATCCATTCCTACACTTGATTTAACAGTTGCTGGTCAAAAAGTATTTCGAACAAAACAACAAGCTGATGCATTTCTTTCGAACTCATTGCCGTCAGCAAGTGCTATGCGACCACCAAGTGGTCGTCTTAAACCGATTAGTAGTGCAAAATCGACATCGTCTTATACTGATGAATTTTCTGCGACATCAACAAAAGCATTAGAAGATGTTACTAACAATGTCAAACAAACATCCTTACCACCAAAGACACATCTTTATAAAAAGAAACTTGCACCATTAGTCAATAGTAATAATGACATAATGAACAAAAAAAATTCATATCGTTCATCAATCGAACAGCAATCGTATACAGTTGATGATGTACCTTCAGACAGGTCAGAAGAAACAAGTGGTGGGACGAGCACAGGAGGAGGAGGAGGAGGAGGAGGGCGAGATATCAGATCATCAAGCGGCAGTGACAAACGTTCAAAACATCACTGACACATAATCATTCTTTTTTTTCTTTTGCTTTTCTTCAATACAAAAAACAAATCCGTCCAATTCTTTTAAATAACACAATTGTTCTTTTTTTGTATATATATATTTTTTATATAACAGCAAAAACCAATAATAAGTGAATGAAATGAGTGTTTTCATTTTTTTGCTTCTTCTTTGTATGAATTTTGTTTGGATAAAAAAAAATGAACAATAACAAATAACTACAGCAAAATAAAATCTTATCTTTCTCTGTTTTCTTTTTTTTCTCATAGTTTATCATGAACGGCAGTATAGATAGTCATGATCCATCTAACGGATACTATACTGGCAATACTCCAATATATCGCAATAATTATACATCTAATTTCAAACCAAATACATCAAATAATTATTTTCGACATTCCTATTCACCACCTGCACACGAAAATATTAATTTACAAGAAAAGCAACACTCAAATACTGTAAACTCACGTTATTTATGTATAAATAATCCTCAACAACAACAACAACGTTTAGCTCTTAATAACTATGGTTTTGAAAATAGTGGATCATCACCAATAACATATTATGATCGTATTTTTGCACAAGTTCGTTCAAATACACCTGTTTCTTCACATCCAGTAGACAACTAAGATAATCAATTCAATAGTTTTCTTCTTTTTTTCTTTGTAGTCTCCAATATCTAGTCCAGCACCAGTGGTTGATCATTCTTTATCATCATCATCAAAAAATAATGATGATCTACCACTTGATTATTCTGATTATACAATGGATTCACTTATTGAACGATTAGTACCCAATGATATTTATAAACCAAAGGTTTTTGAATAAATTCTTCAACTTTCTTTTTTGTTATCAAATATTCACTATTACCTTTCAGAAAAGAGAAATTCGAGTTCTTTCCTAGAGACGCCTTCTATCTTTCCTACATAAACAGTTTTGATCTCATAGATCTACCTTTTTCAATTAGTTGCTAACGGATAGTCCTTGCGATCTTACGAGGGAACTACTTAAGTGAAACCCGTCGTTTGAGCTCATATCATACGGGGGTGCACTGACAAGTCTCATCGAGAATAGTATATGCTAAAAAGG